CAACCTAAGAATTATAGACCTATATCATTATTGAATACGGACTATAAGATTTTTTCAAAGGTTTTGGCAAACAGATTAATGCAAGTGTTACACCAATTGATTCACGGGGATCAGTCCGGATTTATTACTGGAAGATATATGAAATATAATGTAAGACAAATTATTAATTTAATTGAATATTTGGATAAGAATAACCAAACCCCGGCTGTTTTTATCTTTTTGGATGCTGAAAAAGCATTTGATCAAGTGGATTGGGGGTTTCTGTTTCAAGTAATAGAAAGAATGAATTTGGGTGATAAATTTTTGTCTGCTATTAAAGCTATTTATCAACAACAGTCAGCTCAGATTATAGTTAATGGGGGATTAACTGAATCATTCAAAATTGGAAAGGGAACCAGACAAGGATGTCCACTATCACCACTACTATTTGTCTTAACAATGGAGATTCTGTTAATTAGAATCCGGGAGTCTTCCATTATAAAGGGAATTAAGGTTAATAAGATAGATTATAGGCTGCGAGCTTTTGCGGATGATTTGGTGTTAACATTAATCCAGCCCCTAGTCAGTAACTGAAATGATGGAAATTATAGGTCAATATGGAAAGGTTTCTGGATTCAAGGTAAATAGTAATAAGACAAAAATGTTGTCAAAAAACATGTTTAGGGATGATAAGGAGGCATTCGTTTTGCACACAGGTTATGAAATGGTAAAAAAGGTGAAATATTTAGGAGTTTATTTACATTACTATTCATAACAGTAGCAAAATTATAGTTATGAAGTAGCAACGAAAATAATTTTATGGTTGGGGGTCACCACAACATGAGGAACTGTATTAAAGGGTCGCGGCATTAGGAAGGTTGAGAACCACTGGGGTAGATTATTGCTTCATAATAGTGACAGAGTTGTTTATTTTTCTAATAACATACCTATGATACCTTAGGGATATTTGCCCATAATAATTACTCAAAAACAGGGCATCTGCTAGAACGAAGGGAAGTGTAGTAACTGATCCAAAGCAAATGAAGGTTGCCTTGTAAAGCAAAAATACTCTTGTATTCATTACAGCTCATTTCCTAGTAATTGTGCATGTGACTTCATCACTAAACTGATGAATTAATGACTGAAAAGGTGCTTTGTATTGTATACTTTAAAAATGCAAAATGTGGTATAGGAAGGAAGATAAGCTGAATTGTGTAATCATTATGAATACTGTTAAATAGATGAGTGCTAAAGGATATGAATGAGGAAAACAATGCCTGCTCATTATATTAACATATCCAATATTAATCATGTGAAATCTATAAATACATGATTTCTTTTTATGTGGTACTCTTATAGATATTGGAGGAAGATACCCTTTCTGCCCAAATTCTTAATTCCCAAGAAAAATTAAAACTCTTCTAAGATCTGTACATACAGTTTAAGACCTCTCAGAACTAGAGCGTTTTCCTCAAAACAGACCCCAGCATCAAATACTTAAGCTTTCTTTCCCAAATCTGTCACTTCACATCCAGGTATTCTTGACCTTTACTTAGTTCAAATGGTGAGGATAACAATCCTTGAGTTAATACTATAATCCTTATAATAAACTATTACTAGGATCCTTTTAATAAACTTTGAGATAATCCACAAATAACAAAGCTCTCTCCTACTTTAGCATCAAACCTACAATGAAACTTTTGCTAGGCTAAAATGAAGCAAATAAAGACAGTTTCCTCCCAGCTATCCATTCAAAGCAAATCTTCCAATACTGAAGGGTCTTGATAGCTTCTCCAGCCTCACCCCATTTTTTTTCATTCTTAGCAATCAGAAACGTACATAAGATTATAGTAAAAACCGATTTTTAATAATAAAACTCTAAAGGCGAAATTAATTTAGGATACACTCAGTTTAAAGAAATTTGCTAAGGGAAAACAAGCATACTAGAAAAGAGAAAGTGGGTTTTTTTTAACATAAATTGTATTTGGTTTAGAATATACAATAGAAACACACATGATTTAAAAAGACAAGATAATGTGATCTTTGTTGCACATTTTTATCACTATATTGTAGAGCCTAATTTATGAATAGATAATAAAAGGGCCACAAACCTTATTGTGTTAATTTAAAAAAACACTGAATAACAATAATAAAGGGACAGAAATATTTAAGTTAGGATATAAAAACAGGTTTGTTGTTTAAACACCAAGATACAGAACTGACCTCATTCGATCAACATTTCTTTTAAATGTTCTTTGACCTGAAACAGAAGGAATATAAAATTCATGCTGGCAAAATTCAAAGTAAGTGTGTGTGTGTATGTATGTATGTATGTATGTATGTATGCATGTATGCATGCATGCAGTGGTGGGATTTAGCCAGTTTGCACCACTTCGGTAGAACTGTTAGCTAATTTTTTGTTGACTTCGGCAAACCGGCTGATGCCCTAGCCCAGGGGTCGGCAACCTTAAACACTCAAAGAGCCACTTGGACCCGTTACCCAGAGAAAAGAAAACACTGGGAGCCGCAAAACTTGTGTGTGTGTACGAGCGCGCACACGCAAGGGGGGGAGCTTGATTGAAGAATTTAATTAAAAGGAAATAGAGGCTGCTGTGCATGAGTTCTCTCTCTCTCTCTCTCTCTCTCTCTCTCTCTCTCTCCCTTCTCCAATCTTCTGCTCACCTGGCAAGCTGGCTTCACATTGTTCTCCAATAAGCTTGTCAACTTGTCCGAGAACAGCATGAGGCCACTCTCTTTTTTACACACACACAGAGAGAGAGAGAGAGAAAGAGAGAGAGAGAGACAGGAGGGGAGGGGAGGGCAAGTACCTCTCTCTGTCTCTGTCTCTCTCTCTGCAAATGGCGGAGGAGGCTGGGAGCCGCAGGAGAAGGCTCAAAGAGCCACATGTGGCTCCGGAGCTGCAGGTTGCTGACCCGTGCCCTTGCCCTTCTTCGCAAGGCCTAGAACGGACCACTGGAAGTGCGTGGACGCCATTTCTGGAAGTCCATTCTGAGTCAGGGTGGCCTTCCAGGGCCAGAACGGCCCATCAGAAGTGCATGGATGCCACCTCTGGAAGTCCGTTCTGAGCCGGAGAAGCCTCCCAGGCCCAGAATGGACCGCCGGAAGTGCGGAGACGCAGACAACCGATTGTTCAGGTATTTGAATCCCACCACTGTATGTATATATGTACTTTTGAATTGCATATATATAGCATCACTATATTTAAAATTGATACCCTTTCAATATCTGGCCTCCGGTTCTTCTTCTCATGCAGACACTGCGAAGCAATTGAATACATCTGTTCAATTGAAGTGATGTTCCTGTTGCTGATTTTTTTATCAACATAATGTCCAATAGTCTTTTCTTCATCTTCAATTTCCTCCTTGATGGACAGCTGAATGGAGCAGCAAAAGTATTAAAATAATATTACTTCATAATATAGGAATTCCATAGGGAAGAAAAACAGATTGTTCTTGTGAATTGATTAAAAGGAATAAAGCAAGCTGTGATTGTATGGTGGGATGGGGCAATGGGAGAGGTTATTTGTTTGTATCACCCTATCTATAGATCATCTTGTACATTCATTCCAAGAGGGGCTGTTGAGTGCCTTACCCTATGAGGTTAAAGGAGTAGGAATCCTTATATTATAGAATGCAAATAAATGACACATTTTTCAGATTTCCATGTTATGTTTTGCTTAAATCTTGATAAAACCTTTTCTGTCTTGTTTTCACAATGTTACAGGTTCCCATCTTCTGGAGGAATATTTTGAAGTTAAATGGACAGTTATATATATTTCAATAACATTAAACATTTGCTTTAATATTGAACTTGAATATTTTTATGTTACTTAACATACTATCTCCAATTAAGATAATGTCCAGTTTCCTTGTTTCATATGTCATACTTCTTTCTTCAATTTCCAAAAGGAATCAAGAAACTTTTATTCTACTTTTCCATGACTTGATACTTCTGCTATTACCAAAGAATCAACAGAAACACACAGCCACATTGGTTCTTATACTTATACTGATCTAACTTTAAAATAAACAGCATAAGGGCAAAGTATTTTTTTTAATTCCCCAATATTGACATGACAGATCTTTGATGTTCATTTCAATGATTACTCTGAATCCCTGTTTTAACTACAACTTCTTAAATAAGCCACAAGCAAATCATATTACAACTTAGGGCAATATGTGAAATTGGGAAACATTAGCTTCTACCAGAATCTGCCAAACCCACTGAAACAGTAGACCACTTGTGTCCTCCAAAGATGCTGAACGTCAGCTGGCATGGCACAGGCATAGCACTGAAACTGACACATATGTATGTATCTATGGATGGATGTGATGTGATGTGATGTGATGTGTGTGCATGTATATGTATATATATCTACATACTGAGAAAAAATATTAGATCACCTGCTGATTTTGTATGTTTGCCCACTGATAAAGAAATGATCAGTCTATAATTTTAATGGTAGGTTTATTTTAACAGTGAGAGACAGAATTACAATAAAAAAATCCAGAAAAACACATTTCCAAAAGTTATAAATTGATTTGCATTTTAATGAGTGAAATAAGTATTTGATCCCCTATCAATCAGCAAGATTTCTGGCTCCCAGGTGTCTTTTATACAGGTAATGAGCTGAGGTTAGGAGCACTCTCTTAAAGGGAGTGCTCCTAATCTCAGTTTACTACCTGTATAAAAGAGACTTGTCCACAGAAGCAATCAGATTCCAAACTCTCCACTATAGAGACATCCAAGGATGTCAGGGACAAGATTGTAGACCTACACAAGGCTGGAATGGGGTACAAGATCATCGCCAAGCAACTTGGTTAGAAGGTGACAACAGTTGGTGCGATTATTCGCAAATGGAAGAAACTCAAAATAACTGTCAATCTCCCTCAGTCTGGGGCTCCATACAAAATCTCATTTCGTGGAATTTCAATGATCATGAGAACGGTGAGGAATCAGCCCAGAACTACATGGGAGGATCTTGTCAATGATCTCAAGGCAGCTGGGACTATAGTCACCAAGAAAACAATTGGTAACACACTACGCCGTGAAGGAATGAAATCCTGCAGCGCCTGCAAGATCTCCGTGCTCAAGAAAGCACATGTACAGGTCCGTCTGAAGTTTGCCAATGAACATCTGAATGATTCAGAGGAAAACTGGGTGAAAGTGTTGTGGTCAGATGAGACCAAAATCAAGCTCGTGTTTGGAGGAGAAGGAATGCTGCTTATGACCCCAAGTACACCATCCTCACTGTCAAACATGGAGGTGGAAACATTATGTTTTTCTGCTAAGGGGACAGGACAATTTCACTGCATCAAAGAGACGATGGACATGAGTGGTTATTCCAGCATGGCAATGACCCAAAACACCTGGCCAAGGCAACAAAGGAGAAGAAGAAGCACATTAAGGTCCTGGAGTGGCCTAGCCAGTCTCCAGACCGTAATCCCATAGAAAATATGTGGAGGGAGCTGAAGGTTCGAGCTGCCAAACGTCAGCCTCGAAACCTTAATGACTTGGATAGGATCTACAAAGAGGAGTGGGACAAAATCCCTCCTGAGATGTGTGCAAACCTGGTCACCAACTATCTCTGTGATTGCCAACAAGGGTTTTGCCACCAAGTACTAAGTCATGTTTTGCGAAGGGGTCAAATACCTATTTCACTCGTTAAAATGCAAATCAATTTATAACTTTTTTGAAATCCGTTTCTCTGGATTTTTTGTTGTTGTTATTCTGTCTCTCACTGTTAAAATAAACCTACCATTAAAATTATAGACTGATCATTTATTTGTCAGTGGGCAAACGTAAAAGATCAGCAGGGGATCAAATATTTTTTTCCCTCACTGTACATATATACTATACACAAACAAACATGCCAATAAAGAAAACATACCAGTAACTGGGGATCTTGATTTTCATCCATAGGACTAAGCCCAGTTATTATTTCAAGTAATACCTGGAAATAGATGGAAATTAATATGTGAAATACATATCACAGGTTTTCACCAAATATCACTGCACAACAATCAATGTAAAAAAAATACTATTTTATTTCACCAAGGGATGCTCAATTACCTTAGCAACAAAGTAAGTTTCAATATAATTCCAAAAAGACTTAGTGTAAGGACCCACCTCAGCTAACTACCCAAGAAAGCAGAACTCTTTTTTAAATAATATTTTATTAATTTTCCAATTTTACATTTAAGTATTTAAAAAGCAACGTGGTGGCTGGGTTAATCAATAGTTCGATAACAAAATCTTTAGTACAAATCTCAAGTTACAACATCAAATATTTCCTCTCTTTTCCCCTTAACATTTAAGCTAATACAGTTCTTATTATATCAACTCAGTACAAACATCATTATTACATTTATCAATAAATTTTTAGCTTACATGTATCTTAATTATTTTTTACATTCAATCTTCATAAATAATCCATATCCTGTTATTAATTTTTCTCCAATTTTTAGTTTCCCATCAATATTCCAATTTAGCCTTTGATATTTATAATTTTCAAGCTTTAGGTAACCAAGTTTTCCCTTATCTCAATTCATAATAGAATCTAATATCCAAAATACACATTTTATCTATTTGAATATAATCTTGTTCTATTTCCTAAAAGTTATCTATTTCCCATCATATTAAATCATCTACTTAATAATAGTCCCTGTTAATAAACTACTTAATCCCTGTTAATAAATCAAAACCATTGTATATATTACTTGGGTTAATAAATAAACATATTCATAATAAATTTTTTTCCTTTTAGGTCTAATTTTTAAATATTAAACAGATAAAATCCTTATTTTCAACTAATTTCCAAATATTTTAAATCTAATGAAGAAAGCAGAACTCTTGAAACAGGCATTGTCTCAAAAGGAAACTTTTATTAGAGGTTAGTGACAGTAGGGAAGTCAAGGCGAGATCTGGGGGAAATCCTGCTCAAACGTATAGTTAAACCAGCAATATTCCTCCTCCCACCAGAGTCATAATGTCCATTTGAAATCCAGCCAATCCACAGGTGGCATGATGTGTGCGTAACTGGCACAGTTGGCTCGCATCTCAAGGTCTTCTCCAGTTTCGTTTCTCTATAACCATCTCCCTGATAAAGGAGACACATTCCTTTCTCAAATGGATAGAGGTGGGAGGAAAAGTAAAAAGCGAAAGTTATCCCAAGCGAAAGCAAATATCTCCCCTCCCTCCAGTAGAATGGCAGGCCCCAAAACAAAAGCACAAGAATATATATGCAAGATAGACAATAAGGATTTGGGGACCTGACATACAGCCCCCTAGAAGAACAGAAAATCCACCTAAAAGACAAAAAGGGAAGGGGAACAAACAATACAGGCATATCAATTAGGTTTATCAGGATATTGAGAATGGAAGTGTCTTAGAAGTTTAGGGGGTCTAACATGTTTCTTGTACACCCACTCATTCTGGGCAGAAGGAAGATTCTTCCAAGCTACTAAGTATTGTGTCACCCAATGGTGCATTCGAGAGTCCAAAATGTCTTTAATCTCAAAGTGTTGTTCACCCTCAACCATGACAGGTGTGAATGTCTGAGGTGCAGGAGGTCTAAGGTTAGAAGTGACCTCCGGTTTGAGGAAACTAGTGGAAAACAGAGTGGATTTTCAGTAAGTTCTTTGGCAAGTCCAATTCAACCGTCACAGGATTGATGTTGTGTTTGATAGGGAAAGCTCCTACAAATTTAGGGCCTAACTTCTTAGAAGGTTGTAATGACTGCAAATACTTCAGGGAGAGGTATTCTCGGTCTCCAACTTTATATGGTTTTTGCTCCATCCTCCGTTTATAGGCTTGAGTCTTACAGGCTTCTCTGGCTTCATCCAGAGCTTTCCTGACTACTGGCCAGGTATTTTGTAACTGTTTAATCGACTCTTGCAAGGAAGGGATTTCCGGCTTCTTGGTGGGAAGTTCAGGCATGGCCACAAATGTTTGACTATTAGCTACTTGAAATGGAGTGAAACCTGTACTAGAGTGCACAGCATTACTATAAGCCACCTCAGCAAATGGTAACAGATCAGAACAATTGTCCTACTGATAATTAATGAAACCTCTCAGGTATTGTTCTAGAACTGAGTTCAGTCTCTCTGTCCCCCCATTCGCTTGAGGATGATGTGAAGATGATAATCCTTGACTAGAACCCATCAAGTCCAGAAAAGCTTTCCAGAACTTAGAGGTGAATTGAACCCCTCTGTCTGAAATTATACGTTGTGGGGCCCCATGAAAGCGATAATACGTTTTGCACAAAGAGTTTAGCTAAAGTTTTTGCAGTTGGGATCTTGGGGCATGGAATGAAATGAACTTGTCTAGAGAACAAATCCGTTAAGACCCAAATTACAGTGTTTTCAGTACTTTCAGGCAATTCCACAATAAAATCCATAGAGATCTCTCTCTAGGGTGCTGCCGGACTGGCTACCGGTTGAAGCAGTCCTGGGGATTTCCCTTGCCGCAGTTTAGCTGCTGCGCATGTGGGGGAGCTGGTGACATAGCTTTCTATGTCCTTTTTCAATGCAGGCCACCAAAATTGCCTTTTAATGAGATGTAAGGTCTTCACAAGTCCAAAATGCCCAGCAGTTTTTGAGTCATGCCCTGCTTGCATTACTTTAAGCCTTAACGCTGCTGGGACATAAAGTTTTTCTCCAATCCATGCTAATCCATCTTTTAACACACATAGGTTATTGTGGTTTTGAAACCACTTATCGGACTCTAATACAGTTTTAAAATCCTGCAACAAAGTCTTTCCGACAGGAGCCACAGGTTTTGACTGGGCTCTGGTGGTTACAGGGGCTGCTAATTGATGAGGATGTAAAAATGGTTTAGTCACCTCTGCTTTCTTTTTTTTAAATTTGTTTTTATTTATTCCGTTTTACAACAAAAATAAAAATAAAAATACATTTTTTTTCTTAACAGTACTGTGTTATACATCTCACATATATCATTTACAATTTATTTACATTAGTAATCATGTCTTTTTGTTTCTCTGTTCTAGCCAATCATAACATTTGTTCCATATTTCATAGAATTCCGTTACCTCCTTGTCTTTTAGTTCTAGCGTAAGTTTATTCATTTCCGCGCATTCTAGAATTTTGTATATGATCATATCATTTGTAGGTATGTTTTCACCCTTCCAACACTGGGCATATACTATGCGGGCTGCTGTTAATATATGTACAATGATGTATTGGAGTTGTTTTTCCATGTTTAAATTTATTATACCCAAAAGAAATAGTTCAGGTTTGAGTTCAATTTGCACCTTTGTTATCTCCTGTATCCAATTCCTTATCCATTCCCAATAGATCTTTGCTTTAGGGCACAGCCACCACATATGATAGAATGTTCCCTCCTTATTTTTACATTTCCAGCATTCCAGATTCATATTTTTATACATTTTAGCCAATCTCGCCAGTGTTAAATGCCATCTATAGAACATTTTATATTGATTTTCCCTATATGCAGTTGACAATGTCAGTTTACAATTTCTGTTCCATAATCTTTCCCATTCTTCCAATTTTATATTTCGGCCCACATTTCGTGCCCATGCTATTATTGGCCCTTTCACTATTTCTTCCTCCAAATCTACCTCTAATAAATATTTATAAGTTTTGTTTAGAAATTTTCCTTCCTTACCTGTTAAAATTTTATCCAATTGGTGTGGGGTCTGGTTTATTCCGTGCTCTTCCATATGCTTACTGTGTTTAGATTGGATCTGTAAGTATGGCCACCAATCTATAATTATTCCCTGTTCTTCTAATTCTTCTCTTGATTTGAGATTTCCTTGGTTATCTAGTAATTCTTTGTATCTAATCATCTTTTTTTATCCAAGGTGTTAGGGTGGATCATTGCCTCCATCGGTGAAATCCAATTTGGGATTTTCCTATAGTGTCTTTTTTTAACTTTTTCCCACGTCCGAATCAGCGCATCTCTTATCTGATGTTGATAAAAATATGTGTGTGTTCACCATAAAAGGCATGTGTGTGTTCACCATAAAAAGGCATGAGATGTAAGGTCTTTACAAGTCCAAAATGCCCAGCAGTTTTTGAGTCATGCCCTGCTTGCGTTACTTTAAGCCTTAACGCTGCTGGGACATAAAGTTTTTCTCCAATCCATGCTAATCCATCTTTTAACACACATAGGTTATTGTGGTTTTGAAACCACTCATCGGACTCTAACGCAGTTTTAAAATCCTGCAACAAAGTCTTTCCAACAGGAGCCACAGGTTTGACTGGGCTCTGTCATCTCTGCTTTCTTACTGTTATATTGTGGTAACCTGGATAATGCGTCAGCTAAAACATTCTTTTCCCCAGGGAGGTAATGAATAGTGAAATCAAAATGATGGAAATGTTGGGACCATCTTGCTTGTTTAGGGAAGAACTTCCTGGGGGTTTTCATAGCTTCAAGATTCTTATGATTAGTCCATACTTGAAACGGTATTTTACTCCCCTCTAGGAAATGCCTCCAAGTGAGGAGAGCCCATCGTACCACATATGCCTCTTTCTCCCAAGCTGTCTACCTCTGCTCAGTCTCATAATTTCCTAGAGGTGTAAGCACAAGGTTGTAATTGTCCTTCCTTATTTCTCTGCAATAAAACTGCTCCCACAGCCATATCACTAGCATCCGCTTGAATTATAAATGGCTGTTCTGGGTCCAGATGTTTCAAAACCGGCTCCATAGAAAAAAGTCTCTTTAAGTTTCTCAAAGGCTGCTTGACACTCTCCTGTCCATTTTAATGGTTGACTGGGCTTTGGCTTATCCCCCCCTCTGGTTTTTAACAAGTTTGTTATTGGGAGGGCAATCTGTGCAAAAGATGGGATGAACTGTCTGTAAAAGTTTGCAAATCCTGGGAAACTTTGGAGCTGTTTCTGGTCTTTGGAGGAGCCCAGTCCAAGACTGTTCTCACTTTCTCCGGGTCTATCTCTATTCCCTTGTTGGATATAAGATAGCACAAGTAATCAATCCAATCTTTCTGGAACTCACACTTTGACAGTTTAGCATACAGCTTCGAGGAGCACAGTTTTTTAAATACCGCTCTGACCAGTTTAATGTGCTCATCTTGGTTTCGGTGTAGATAAGGATGTCCCAGGTAAACCAAAACCCCTTTATACAGATGATCCTGTAGGACCTCGTTAATCAGTTGCATGAATACTGCAGGATCCCCTTGTAGCCCAAATGGGAGAACGTTAAATTGGAAGCAACCAAATGGGCAATTGAAAGCTGTTTTCCATTCATCCCCTTTCTTTATCCGTATACGGTAATAAGCTTCTCTCAAGTCTAGTTTGGGGGAAAAATCCCTTTATATAAGTGCGCTAGCATGTCTTTCATTAAAGGTAATGGATATATATTCTCCACGCACACAGTGTTCGGACTCCTATAATCCACGCAGAGATGAAGAGAGCCATCTTTCTTTTCTCTGAATACTACAGGGGCTGCTACCTGGAGTCCAGCCAGCTCTATGAAACCCCGCTCCAAATTCTTTTTGATGAACTTTCCCAGTTCGTCTAATTCCCTGGGAATCATAAGAGTACATTTTTGGTTTTGGCAGTTTTGCCCTGGGATGATCTCAATAGCATAGTTTGTGGATCGGTGAGGGGGGAATTTGTCTCCCCTTTGTTCACCGAAGGCTTCAGCCAAATCTCAGTATTCCATTAGGAGGACTTTCAAGTCCGACTCACTGAGGGCGGAGACAAAATTGTGGTGTAATCCACATCTCCCGCTGTTTTCTTTAGGAATAGGCGGGGCTCCCCCGTGGGAATTTTAACTGTCCTTCCCTCCAGTTGATCATGGAGTTCCATTTCTTTAACCAAGCCAGCCCCAGAACTAATGGCTACTCCATCCCTGGGGACACAATAAAAGTTAGAGTCTCTGCATGATCCACCAGGTCAATACATAAAGGTCTGGCGGCAAAGATGGTGGGCACCCCGCCTGCAACCGAGCCATTCAATTGGCAGAAAGTAATTGGGGTTTTTAGCCTCTTGAGGGGTATTCCCATTTTCCCCACTAGTTCTGGGCTAATCATGCATCAGGTTCACCCCGAGTCCAGCAAGGCGGCTAACTTTACTGTCTTTCCAGTGCCAGGTATAGAAAGTTCTAGGGGCACTGTTATGGGGTCAATTGGCCCACTCACCAATGAGGTCATCTTCGTAGTCATCTTCCATCCCTTCTGTGCCATCGTAGCATGGAGTCAGAGCTCGACCCGCTCAATCGTCCCAGGGGAGCTCTACAATTTCTTCGGACCTCATCACAGTCTCCCTGAGGTGTGGTGAGACTCTCAGAGGTCTTCCAGACAGTAGACTGTCCCCCCTCTTGAGAGATGTCTTGCTACAGCAATCCACGGCTCAATGTCCTTCTTTACCTCATTTGAAACAAGTGGTGTTGAGAGATGGGGCAGGCAAACCTCATGCGGTCTTCCCTCGCTTCTCTGACTGCAGTCTGAAGCTTGGTCTCACTGGGCGATGTAGGTGCTTGTGTTGATTGATCTCTACTTTCTCAGCTAGCAGGCACCAGTCGTACAGCCGGACCGGGGCTCCGCAAGCTACGCAGGCATTATATAGCTCTTCATTGAGCCCATACTGGAAACAGCTTACCAGGATGTCTTCCGGCCAGCGAAGGCGACTGGCCAACTCTCTGAATTCTTCAGTGTATTCAGTGACTGTTCTCCTTCCCTGCTTCACTGTTTTTATGTGCTCACGGGCTTTCTTGTCTGCCAGCCGGTCTTCAAGACATCTGCAGAGGGCAGCCATAAAGCGGTTGAAATTCCATAATTCGGATGCGTTGCAATTGTATAGGGTCACCATCCAGTCAGCTGCTCTACCTCCCAAAGCTAGAGTAATTACTCAGACCTTCTTGACATTGGTAGGCAGTGTTCTCCCATACATTTGCATGTAGGTGAACACTTGTGCCAGGAAATACCCCAATCGCTTCGGGTCTCCATCAAACTTCACTCCAATCGGAATTGGCTTCACCTCGGCTGGTTGGGGTGGTCTGCTTCTGGTTCCATGAGACGGACGGCCTCGCCATGGTGCTGCCTCCTGGGCTCCAGCCGCTGCCGTCTCTCGTACCTCCAATTCCTCCTCATCCGATTCACCCTCTGACTCTTCCTCTGATTTCTTTCAGCTGCACTTTAATTTTGTTGAGGGCTTTTTTCACATATTCCATCACAGCTTCCATCGTCCCCGATTTCAATCCCTCCTTTTCTCCATCTTTATCAGGAGGGGCAGGCTCTGGATTTTTTTTCTTTTTTCTTTTTCTTCCCTCCTCCTCAGGTAAAGGCAACCTTTGGGGCTTTTTCTTCCCATGCTTCCTTTTTTCCAACCCCAAGTGACCATGTGGGTTCGATCTTCTTCACCAGAAGGTCCGGTTTCTTCCAGATCCCTGGAGTGGCTTTCATCTGGTTTCAAACATAGGAGTTCCTCAGCCCATTTCTCTGCCTGGAATTCCTCCATGTGAAATTTAGTTGCGACTCCCCCAGTAGGGCAGCAGCTTCTCCAGGTTGAGTACTATGCAGATCTCACCTTATGTAAGTACCCGCCTCAGCTAACCACCCAAGAAAGCAGAACTCTTGAAATAGGCATTGTCTCAAAAAGAAACTTTTATTAGGGGTTAGTGACAGTAGGGAAGTCAAGGCGAGATCTGGGGAAAATCCTGCTCAAACGGTATAGTTAAACCAGCAATATTCCTCCTCCCACCAGAGTCATAATGTCCATTTAAAATCCAGCCAATCCACAGGTGGCACAATGTGTGGGTAACTGGCACAGTTGGTACGCATCACAAAGTCTTCTCCAGTTTGGTTTCTCTGTAACTGTCTCCCTGATAAGGGAGACACATTCCTTTCTCAAATGGATAGAAGTAGGAGAGGAAAAGTAGAAAATGAAAGCTATCCCAAGCGAAAGCAAATGTCCCCCCTCCCTCCAATAGAATGGCAGGCCCCAAAAGAAAAGCACAAGAATTTATATGCAAGGTAGACGATAAGGATTTGGGGACCTGATACTTAGTTTATAACTAGTGATCAAAAGTGTAAAACTGAATATATGAAGAAATTGTATTTCCGAAATCTCTGTATGGCTATCACTAGACTTAGGATTATAATAGAAAGTTTTTCAAATTCTACATTTTATAGAGGGGGATTTGAAGTCTTTTCATGGTAAATATTTAAATAAGTATCAGATACCTGCCTGAAAAAGAAATACAGATTATTGGACTACTGCAGTGAAGGCGAACCTTTTAGAGACCGAGTGCCCAAAAACTGGCCTTGCCCCGCTTCACCCCCTGCCCCGCCCCTGCTCTGCCCCACCCCGTCCCCTGCCCTGCCTGCCCGCAGGACCACTCACCGCCTCCAGGGCCCGCTGCAGATCACCCAGGCAGCTCAGCAGCACCATGGTGGCCACGCCCTCTGCCCACGCCCCGCAGCATCAACTGTGCGATGGGGCGTGACAACAGTCTTGTCTGCGCTGCCTTGTTGCCATGTCCTTGGCTGCACTGCTCCACGTGAGCCATCCTTGGGGGTGACTCTCCTCCAGGGGGGCTGCTGATGGGCTCGCGGGGGAAGGCAAGGCTGGGGCAACGGCATATATGCCCACAGAGAGGGCTCTGAGTGCCGCCTCTGGCACGCGTGCCATAGGTTCGCCACCACTGGACTACTGTAACCACTAGGAGTTAGGCTCTTAGGAAAAACTCTGGCTTGAGATAAAATAATGGGCAATTCCCACTAAATCCCATTCATGACTTTCTTAGTGAAGAAAAATGAAATCCATCTTCAAAAGCAGAGCAATTTAACAATTCAGACACTGGCATTACAAGAAACCTGGAGTTAAATTTAGTTGTGCATTGGACCATTCCAAAGTTGAAAAACAAGGTACAGTTTGTGAGTTACCAATAATTTTTCATTAGGCAAGATAATTTAAGAAACAGAAAGGCAGCATAAAGAGAAAACAATCCTCATTTACTGAGTTATTTTAAAAAATAACAACTTACCACGCCAAAACTGAAGATATCCGATTTAGGAGTTATCTCCCCTCTTAATGCCTCTGGAGCCATATAAGCTGCTGTCCCAACTATTCTATCTGTTAGAATAGTATGTGTAAATCTTACCGATGTCCTTGCAAGCCCAAAGTCAGAAAGTTTTGGCACAAATGTTTCTGTTAGTAAAATATTTGCACTGGGGGAAAAAAGTAAGCTAAAAGTTATTTTTTGCCTCCCCCACTGAAAGAGAAGCAATATATAAAACAGAAATAACAGCTGGGTTAAATCCAAATGGTGGGGAACCTTTCTGTAATTCAGTTTGATAGGATCAAAATGAAAGGTCGAATCTGCTGTGTAATGGAAACTTACTGTAGAAAAACGATCTTGCCAAAGAAACTACAATGGATGAGAACCAGGAAAGGGTAGTATAACGGGAGGATGTAAGATAAACACGTAGGCAAAAATTTGTCTGGGTCTCCAGAATTGGGAAAGGAAGAATAGGGAAGAGAACCTGTGGCTCAGTGACTAAATCACTGCCTAGTATGTATAACTTTCCAGGTTCGAATCCCATAAAGGGTATGGCTAACTGATGAAGGCAAAAAAAGCCAGAAATGGTCCATCGGGACGGTGCCAAAGGACACATTAGAAGGATATATAATGTTTTATTAGAATTGGATTCAGAAACTGAGTTAGTTAAAGATTGTATGATCAAATGGGCCCAAAATATAGGAGAAACAATATCTATGGATACTTGGGAGTTGATCTGGGTGAGAAATGTGAAGTTTACGCAAGCTCAAAATCTACGTGAGAATTTCTATAANTAAAATTTTACCTACAATGGAAGACTGGAGATTGAAAGTTTCGTATCTTGCTGAAATGGCAAAGATTTCGGCTTATTTGAAGAATTACTCAAATGAACAATTTTTATTAATATGGAGAAGATGGATTGTTTATATTCAAAAGAAGCATAGAGTGGTGGAATATAATTTAGGTTTTTAGAAAAAATTTTCTTTTTTTTTTCTTTTATATATTTTACCTACTCATGTAGAATAATATACTCTGTGGAGTTAGAGATACTAATATTTGTTTACTTATATCTGAATATTATCCTGGGATTAGGTTTGGGAAGTCCGGGGGGGTGGGGGGTGGGGGGTCTTTCATATAGCATTGTGTAACATTTGTGATGTTTTTTTTATGATGAAAAATAATAAAAATTTTATATTGGAAAAAAGGAAAGGAAGAATACAAGCTGTAAAAGCCGCTGCAAGAGGAAATGGCAAGCCAGAGAAAATGAGCTGAACTGAAAAACAGGAAAGAACCTATTGTTTTAAGGAGCCATAAAATATCAGCTCAAAATAACTAACTGAATATGTCTAATATTTTATATTATTAATGTACATATGAATATGATTTAGTATATTTAAGGAAAGTAACAGGAAATATGAAGGAAGCAGTCAGAAAGAGTGCAATCTCATAGTACCTCAGCCAATGGGGAACGAGGAGGGATGTGGCACCTGGGACAGGGTTGTATAAAGAAGGGAATATTTTGGGTTGGAACCTTGGAGAGAACCAAACTTTGATAGCTTCTCTCCCCGCTTATTGCAATAAATGAAACGAAAGTCTTTCACTGTGTCTTGGCTGGTTATTGGTCAGGCGAGCTTGCCTCTGGTCATGAAGGAAAGTAGCCAGGAGCACATAACAAGTTCACAAGCAACTCAAGGAAAAGAGTAAATCTTACAGCCCTTTTTATCCCACTCCATCACCCTTTAGAATGCTTTACACAGGAATTAATTTTATAGACGTTACCTTTTAACATCTCGATGAATGTGATTATTTTCATGCAAGAAAGAGATTCCATTTGATGTCCCATAAGCAATGTTGCATCTTGTTTCCCAAGGTATTGGTGAAGTGTTGTCCTTAATAAACAGGGAGAATAGAAAAGTTTCAGCATTTTATTGGAATCACTTATTTTATTCAATAAAATTAAACTAACAAAAGAAGAAAAGCAAAGTTGAGAGCATTCTATTCCCAATAATAAGCAGCACTGACCAATTAAAGCTATAAAAACTCTTGAGAATTATTTTTTTTCAAGATAAGCTGCAGCTAATAATAAGTTTGGATCTTATTTTTTCATGTCACTTATTCCATGAAATGAAACGTCATATTTGGCAATTTGGGAAAGAAGTATATTTTTATCTCATTTTTATGTTTAAGTATTAGCTGTCATGAACATTATCCCAATATAGAGATTTCTGTTTCATAAAAAGTGCAGTCACTTTCTAAATTTACACTGTAAATCACTCCTTTCATATCTGCTGACACTGAATATTAGTCAATTCTGTATGATTCTTATGAACAGAATATACAGTTACTAATATGTTCATATACGAGGGCAATTCGGTTATCAAGTTGGTTATCAATGACAGACACTTGCAGATACAGAACTTTTATTATACACATTAGAAAACTACATTACATTACTTTTCGACATAATCGCCATTCAAATTGAGGCACTTGTCATAACATCTTACAAGGTTTGAAATTCCTTAGTAGTAGTCATTCGGTGCCAAATCTGGGCTATCGAGGTGTGATCAAAAACATCCCAACGGAACTGCTTCAAAAGTTCTTGGGTGCGTCTAGCAGTGTGCAGGCGAGCATTATCGTGAACCAACACCACACCGGAAATGATGCCATAGAAAATCCCATCGAATGTGAAGATCCCAAAGGAGTACTGCTAGTGAAGTTCATGGAGCGTGGTTCGACCATCAATTCAGAAGTCTACTGTGAAACGTTACAAAAACTCAGACGGGCCATCCATAACAAGTGCCAGAGCTTGCTGACTTCCGATGTGGTATTGGTTCATGGTAATACTCGCCCACATACCACTAGACACACCCAAGAACTTTTGAAGCAGTTCCGTTGGGATGTTTTTGATCACACACCCCCCATAGCCTAGATTTGGCACCGAGTGATTACTACTATGAAATTTCAAAACTTGTAAGACGTTATGACAAGTGCCTCAATTTGAATGGCGATTATGTCGAAAAGCAATGTAATGTTGTAGTTTTCTAATGTGTATAATAAACGTTCTGTATCTGTGAGTGTCTGTCACTGATAACCAAATGGGGGTTTATTTCCGAATTTCCCTCATATCTTAACAAAGCAAAGTCTAGTCACTAGTCAAAGAAAACTAGTCATGTTATAATGAGCCTTTTAACTATAGAATTTATGAATTACAATACAGGTAGTCCTCGACTTACAACCACAATTGAGCCCAAAATGTATGTTGTTAAGTGAGACATTTGTTAAGTGAATTTTGCCCCATTTTATGATCCTTCTTGCCTCAGTTGTGAAGTGAATCATTGCAGTTGATAAGTTAGTAACATGGTTAAGTGAATCTGGCTTCCCCATTGACTTTGCTTGTCAGAAGGTCACAAAAGGTGATCACATGATCTTGGGACACAGCAACGGTCATAAATATGAACCAGTTGCCAACCCTCTGAATTTTGATCATATGACCATGGGATTGCTGGAATGGTTGTAACTGTGAAAAATGGTCATAAGTCACTTTTTTCAGTGCCATTGTAACTCTGAACACTAAATGAACTGTTGTAAGTTAAGGACTACCTATATTTTATTATCTAGTAAAAGAAAATTTGAAAATACATTTAATGTTAGGAAAAACATTAAAATATACTTTAGCATTACATGAATAATATGGCTAAGATCTGTACCTTTCCCACTAACTCCAATAACACTGAATAAAGAGCAGAACTCTATTTTTCTGCCTTTACTCATTAAAGTTCAATGTTTTGAAAAAAATAAAAGCTAAATTCACTATGGTTTATGAACCATTTTTCTAACAGATACTGTACTTTAAGCTAAGAACATTTTGCTCCTATTCAGGCTTAATAATCTCTAATTATTTTTCTAATTATTTTTAAAGATTAAAACATTTGAAATACTCCTTCTAGCTGTACTAAATGAAGAGTAACAGAGACATTATGCAGACATTATGTCTGCAAAGGCTACATATTTTTCTGAAATCTTGAACTGATTCATAATACATTTATTAGGAATTCAAACAGGAATTAATCTTATGTAGAGAAATGTTACAATGTTAATGAAATTTTTCTCCAAAATAATTAATCAAGAAATAGTTGACCTATACTAGAAAATCAATCTCAATCAGCCATATGATTCCTGTTTCTCATTGTTAAGTTTTAAAAAGTTAAATATTTAAAAAGCATGATCCTGCATGAATGGGTCAAGTTTCATACTTTTAGGCCTAAATACTAAAGAAAGCACTTACCAGACAAGCTAATCTATCAAGCAAAGAACCTTTGGGCATATAATCATACACTAAGCAAGGCTGATCAAAATCATTTGAGAAACCAAGCAATTCTACTAAGTTCTCATGTTGGCACCTGTAAACAAAAGTAGATAGTTTTATATTGTTGGGGCTTTCATATTTTTCAATATGTACCATTCTGAAAAACATAAGGGATATCTAAGCTACTTCTAGCTTTGACTATAAATTGACTACGTACAGTAGAAACTGATTCAATGTATTCAGTGACTGATCTCATATTTTCTGTCAAGTTCCAGCTGAGAAGTCCAACGAAGCAAAACACTAGAGACATTGCGTTCTCTAATGTAAACTTTATTAAGCATTAGCAAACCGGTAAGATAGAAGGAAAGCTAGCTCTGAGAATATGGCAGGAAACAGATAATTAAGAGTAAAACTTTCCCTCCCCTCTCCGACAGTTCAGGTCACATTGTCCAATTAATCTTTCAGCAATTGTTATGAGAAGAAACTTCAGTTCGCCACAACATCTCCTCAGTGGCTTTGGCTCTCACATTGATAAGGAACACCTGTGGATCCCAAACTGTCCCTTCTCTCCCCCCCCCCATAACTGTTGGCAACCTAGAACCACTACAGTGGTCCTAAAGACAGTAAATTTTGTAGCTTGACAGGCCGGCCACCTAGAAGAGAAAGGGAATCTGGAAAACAAAAAGGAATACCCATCATTACTTCCTAATCTTTCCCTTGAACTGGTCCCAACTTCTGTGGATACTTAGTGTGGAATCATTTTATCAAACGATCCGCTTTTGTGTGCTGGGCTTTTATCCATCTAGCTTCTGATATCAGGTAAACCACCCCCCCATTGGATTAAGTACTGCAACTTCTCTTTGTGGATTCTGAAATCGAGGATTCGCTTAACCTCATAATGCATTTCCCCTTCTACTATTATTGGGGCTGGGCTGCTGTCCCTACTGGTCTCATCATGGATCCCCTGTATGGCTTCAGTAAGCTACAATGGAATATTGAGTGCACTTTACCCAACAATCTTGGTAGTCTTAGATCTACTATCACTGGGTTAATGACTTTTAAGATGGGGAAAGGACCTATGTACTTCAGTCTTAACTTCTTGCAAGTTTGTCTCAACTTAAGATACTTGGTAGACAGATACACTTTATCTCCTACATGGAACTGAGGAGCTCATTTTTTATTTGCTGCTTTCGGCTGCCTTAGCTAAAGCCTTTTTTGTATCGCTCCAGACCCACTGGAACGAACCCACCCAGTCACTTAAGAGTGCTCGAGGAGGAGGGGGGGCTCCTCTGGGCACTCTGGTATTGGCACAAATTCCACTCCTGTGTCTAACTTAAATGGAGTGTTGCTGTGTACTGCATTGTTATATACCACCTCTGCAAACGGCAAAAACTCTGCCCAGTTCGTTTGCTGGTAGTTGACATAACAATGCAGGTAGTGCTCTACTATGAAATTAGCTTGTTCTGCAGATCCATTTGTACAGATGGAAAGAGGAACTGAGCCCTGGGAGGACCCAATCATCCTTATAAACTCTCTCCAGAACTTAGCAGTAAACTGGACTCCACGATCTGAAATGATGTGCTTAGATGCTCCATGTAGTCAGTAGATGTGTTGCAAAAACATATTCACTGGCTTCTGGGCCAAGGGGAGTCCAGCACAAGCAATGAAGTGGGCTTGCTTGGAAAACAGGTCTATTACAGTCTAAATCACAATGCTTCCCCCCCTCTCCGGCAGCTGCACTATAAAGTCCATGGCTATTTTCTCCAAGGGTCTGGTCAGATTAGCTGCCTGCTGCAGCAGCCCATAATCTTTTGCTGGCCACACAAACAACATAGTTCCCCACATAGTTCTCAATGTCTTTCTTCATCTTTGGCCACCAGAACTGGTGATTGGCATGATGAAACGTCTTCAGGAACCCAAAGTGGCCTGCCTGCCTGCTTAGCATCGTGGCTGTGTTGTAGGACTTGTAGCCGCAGATGGTCTGGGACATACAATTTGTTCCCTTTCCATGCCAGCTCATGCCTCATGGTCAATTCTCTCTGATGAGCCACAAACCATGCATCAGTTTGCAGCTCTTGCTTCAGCTGTTGGGCAAATGCACCGGTGGGTGAGTCATAGAATACATTTTTGATTTGGGAAGCTTCGCCCCAAGCAAGATCTCAAGAGTACAGTCTGTGGGGCGGTGAGGGGGTAGGATGTTGTACTCTTTCTTGCTGAACATCTCCATGAGGTCTTGGAGATTGCTGCTCCTCCCCCTCCTCCGATGCTCCCTTGTTGTACTCAGGGGTTTTCCTTGCCCATCCCACCTTCTCAGACTGCTCTTTTCTCTTGTCAAGAGGGCTTGGGACTTGCTTCCTCACAATCATTCACTTTGAGGCTTTCTCCCAATAGATCCTGGGCCTCCACGTGGCTAGCCAAGCCAGGCCCAGAATCATATCCTCTGCCATCTTTGGGATGACCATAAAACGGATAGTCTCTTGGTGGTCCCCAAATCCTAGATGCACCGGCTCCATTAAGTGGGAAGTGGCTTTGCCTCATATTAGGGTGCCATTAACCTGCTCGAATTTCACTGGGTTCTTGAGCTTCCTCACATGTAAACCTAATGTAAGGACCCACCTCAGCTAATCACCCAAGAAAGCAGAACTCTTGAAATAGGCATTGTCTCAAAAGGAAACTTTTATTAGGAGTTAGTGACAGTAGGGAAGTCAAGGCGAGACCTGAGGAAAATCCCGCTTAAACCAGCAATATTCCTCCTCCCACCAAAGTCATAATGTCCATTTGAAATCCAGCCAATCCACAAGTGGCACGATGTGCGCGTAACTGGTACAGTTGGCGTGCATCTCAAGGTCTTCTCCAGTTTCGTTTCTCTGTAACCGTCTCCCTAATAAGGGAGACACATTCCTTTCTCAAATGGATAGAAGTGGAAGAATAAAACAGAAAGCGAAAGTTATCCTAAGCAAAAGCAAATATCTCCCCTCCCCCTAATTATATGGCAGGCCCCAAAGCAAAGTACAAGAGGATATAAAGGAAAGGTTTTGCAGACCTGACACCTAGCCTCTGCACTGTAGCTTGGCTAATAAGGCAACAGATGCTGCCTGAGTCCATGACAGCCTTTACCTCCTCCCTCGCCCGAGCAGGATGGCACGATGTCCACCCTAACTTCAAGGTAGTTGACAGGTCCACTCACCATTGGGTCATCCTCTCCCTCGCTCTCGCTGAGGGTCATCCGCAGCTACTTTTTGGCTGGAATTCCCTCCCCTTCACTCTCTGGGGGGGGGAGAGACCTCAATGACCTGGGCTGTTACTCATGATTTCTCCTTCCCCTTCTTCAGCAGCCTCGAGGGAGTCAATGCCATGGGAGCTATCTGGGGGGTTGGTGCTGGCTACATCACTGCTCTGTAGTCCTCCTGGCCACAGCAAAAGCGCATGAGGGGGTGCAAACAGGTGACCCCACGGGGGCCAGAGATACTGCCACTGGCTGCTTCCTTCCCAAGGTGCACTTCTCTTGACTTTTCTTCAGCTGCAGTCTGAAAGCCCCATGGTCCTTGCACACTGCCAGGTCTAGCTCCACGTGGTGACCAAATGGTACCAATCACTGAGCTGGTCTGGGATTCCCTTGGGCTAGGCACAGGTGAAACAGCTCACAGCTCAGCCCCTCTCAGAAGTATTGGGTCAGGAGTTGCTCCGGCCAGTGCCTCAGCTTCCCTGCAATCTTCCTGAATTCTCTGATGTACTCTACCACAGGCTTATTCCTGTCTGACATTGCGGACCTCCGTCTCCACCAGTCTATTCTGCATGGGGTCTCTGAAGTGAGCTCTGAGGCTCCAGAGGAATGCATCCAGGTCTGCCAGCTCAGGGGCACCTCATCGTGGAGATGTCACCCATTCTGCCATCTCTCTTTCGAGGCTGACCACAATGACATCCACTCGGGCCTCATCAGGGTATTCTCCTCCATGCCAGTCAAGATGGGTCCAGAATTGGTTGAGGAAGAATGCCACTTTCTCAGTATTCCCGTCAAAAGTTGCCCTCAGAAGCAGGGATGGAGATAGCCTGGGTGTGGCCAGGGCTCCAGCATCCAAATTCTGCCATAGGAATACATCCATAGTTGAGCCCTGTACCTGGGGCCCAGTGATGGCTACCAGCCTACTCTCTCAGGCTGAGGAGCAGGCACCAGTTATGGACTGTGGGCTCCCTGTCCCAGACTGGGACTGGGCTGTGGGGACAACCCCAATTGTGGGCTAGCTGCTCCTCCAACTGCCCCAGCTGCTGCTCCTGCTAGTTGCTAAGGTGAAGGAATCGGTATCGGTGCTGGGAGCAGAGCTGAGCCACCTTGGGGTTTAGGATCCAGCCGTTGGACCTCCAAGTTGCTAAAGTTCTGCCTCAGTTGCTCCATCGATCGGCTGCCGCACAATGGCAAATAGTGCTCTTGATGCTGACTATTCAGAGGCTCTTCGCTCCCACTGCTCCAGTTCTCTGCCCCATTCAGGTTGGGGGTAGCACAGTGGAAATTCGGCTTCAGCGGTTTTTTGTAGTCCTTCTCACCACTTCTCCAAATTGGGTCGATTGAATGCCACTGCTCCACCCATCCATTCCGAGGCTGGGGTTGGCTCTTTTCGTACAACCCATTCTTTGGAGTGTGTTGAAGCTGGTGGGGTTATGAAACTGCTTTCAGCCCCAGCTGGGGTCCCGCTGGTCGATTCCAACCTGGCTCCTTCCAGCTGTTCTGTTTCAGGCAACTTCTCCTGAGTCTTCACTACCCCTCTGGAAGCTACCAGAAAGGGCATAGGGGCTCAGGACCGCTTAATGGAATTAAAGTTGAAAGAGACTAGCTCAGTGTAAAGTTCCAACTGAGAAGCCCAATGAAGCAAAATACTAGAGACACTGCATTCTCTAATATAAACTTTATTAGGCATTAGCAAACTGGTGAGATAGAAGGAAAGCTAGCTCTGAGAATATGGCAGAAAACAGATAATTAAAAGAGTAAAACGTTCTGGAGTTCTGATTTTGTGCAGTAGCGTCCGGTCATAGGATTGCAGACCTCTGCACCCCGCGGCTAGTTTCGCCCTGCCAGAGGACCCTAAATGGGTCTAAGTC